AAGTCTGAATGGAATCGGATGTTAATTTCGCGTTTTATAAGCTTCATGTATACTCAAAATTTTGACATGTGTAGGGGAGGTACCAGAAAGAATGGACCGATATATCTCATTTTCGTACTAAACCATGAGTTAGTGGAAATAATGGGAAGTGTGTAGTATGAAAAGAACCAGATGTTTACTTCCGATTTACGGTGTGAAAGTGGACAATATCAGTCTACTCCATCAAGTACCTCCCTCAACAAGAGTCAAAGTTTTGAATAATTATAACTCTTAAAAAGTGTGATATCACATCACAATATTTTTATTAACCCAAGTTTTGGAGAAAAATGGAATAGATCGGACCAGTCCCTCTGATACCTCATCCACAAATGGTGAAAGTTTAGAATAACTAAAATGTTTATAAAATCGGAATTAAATATCCGGTTCTCTTCATACTTCAGACATTCCATTATTTCTACTAAAACAAAATCTGCTGTAAAGATGGAATATATTTGTCCACTCTTCCCCCACAAAGGGTCATAATATTGAATATCCATGAAAACGCGAAATTAACATCCGATTCCATTCGGGTTTGGCACATCTCAATATTTCCAACAACACAAGATGGTAGAAATTTAACCATTCCTTTTGGTACCTCCCCACAAAGGGTCATAATTTTGAATATCCCTGAAGCTCATAAAACGCGAAAATAAAAAATATTTTCACCAACACCAGATCTACTGTAAAGGTGGTAGAGATCGGATCATTTTTCTCGTACCTCCCCCCATAGGGTTCGACATTTTGAGAAACCAAACGCTCCAAGTAAGCCAAATAAGAGTTCAACTCTCTTCAAATTTCACATACAAACATTTTTGCTAACATAAGATCTGTAGTGAAGATGGTGTATACATATCTGCGAAATCCTTCTTGTATCCTATCCAAAAAGGGTCACAATTTTCAAAACTTTAAACTGTCATTATATGTCGAAACAAATCAGCGATACAAGTTGCTAAATCTTAATATTTCTCTCAACCACAAATCTGAGATGAATATGGAATTTCTGACTTCGCATAAAATTCAATATAAAACTCCGATTTTTCGTTAATTTTGTCCATACCAATGTATATACCCTACACCACAAGGTGGTCAGGGTATTATGTCTTTGTGCATTTGTTTGTAACAAACAGAAGGAAACGAGATAGACCCATAGTTCCTTTTGATGATCTGCATAGAATCACATTCTGAGTCGATTTATGTATGTCCGTCCGTCTGTCTGTCCATCCGTCTGTCCATGTATTCTTGTAAACAATGTACAGTTCGCATTAATAGTCCTATCCAGATGAAATTTTGCACAAATCATTTGTTTGGCCCAAGGACGAACCCTATTGAAATTGGAGATAATCGGTCAAAATTTAGATATAGGTCCCATATATATCTTCGTCCGAGTTGCCTTTTGTTGTGCACCAAACGTGTAATATCAGCCCGAATTGTATGGAATTTTGCATATACACCCAAATTATGCCTGAAAAAAAGTATGCCAAATTTGATCGAAATCGGTTCAGATATAGCTATAGCTCCCATATATATTGTTCATCCGATTTGTTATTTTTGTCCACCGCCGCCGTAATGTGCACTATGCAACAACAATATTTGGGGAAATATATCAAATACAGCTCAGAAATACATTTGCTAAATTTTATCGAGATCGGTTCAGATTTAGATATAGCTCCCATACATAACTTCGTCCGATTTACTTTTATTGTGCACCAAACGTCTAATATTTGTCCAAATGAGATGGAATTTGGCACTTACGACTGAAGCTAGTCTAGAATTTGGTGAAGATTGGTTCAGATATAGCTATAGCTTCCATATATATTATTCATCCGATTTGTTATATTTGTTACCCACAACCGTAATATGCACTCCGTAACAACGATATTCAGGGAAATATATCAAATACAGCTCAGAAATATCTTTGCCAAATTTTATCGAGATCGGTTCAGATTTGGATATAGCTCCCAAATATATATCTTTATCCGATTTCAAATTAATTGTGCACCAAATGGACAATACAATTCCGAATTTAAAAGATACAAATGCTTCGGCATATTTAGTCCTTTGAACTTTTAATTATAATTATCATCATAGCGTGTATGATTGAATGCGAAACATTGTATGTATAGGTCCACATTTTGGTATAGCCCCATTATAACGATACCTGCCGATATTCGATATTTTGATATCAATTAATATTTGCACTTTATAATAGGCCGATCTAGCCGGTGGCAGAACATTGAATATTTAGTTTCAAGTTTTCCTGTAGCGCACATATAACGATGCCTACCGTTATTCGGTATTCTGATAATTCTAGTAATTGTTTCAAATTTGGGATTTTAGAAGATTTGATAGATGACAATCCTTGAAGTATAAAATTGCCGATAGAGGTTTCCGTTTTGGTATGGCCCCATATAACGGCCTCACTCACTTTATGGTTTTTTCATAAGTTTAACTGTATTATGCAAATGGTCTTACTGGTACACCCTCGACTTCCGATACTTTTATATAAAAATGTTTCTTTTACTCTGAAATGGAGGTTATTAAAAGTTCGCCCCGGCCGAACTTAATGTTTTTTTTTACTTGTTATACCCTCCACCACAGTATGGAGGGGATATTAAGTTTGCCATCCCGTTTGTAATACCTCGAAATATATATTTTAGACCCCACAAGGCACATATATTCCTGATCAGCATAAAATTTTATATCGATTTAGCAATGTCCGTCCATCTGTCCGTCTGTGGAAATCACTGTAGCTTCTGAACGAAATGAAGTCGGTTGATAAAATTTTACTTAAATTTGTACTATGTCTGCAGGACTTTTGGTATTGAAAATGGGCCATGTAGGTTCACGTCTTCGTATAGCGCCCATATAATGGTACTTCCCGATATGTGGTATTTTGATGATTTTAGCGACATTATTTACCGGATTTGTTTCAAAATTGGTATACATATATCATAATAGATACTGCAGCATAAAACAGAAAATGAGTATAGCCCCCATATAACGGTACATATCGATATTCGGTATTTGGATGATTTTAGCGACATTATTTACCGGAATTGTTTCAAATTTCGCATTTGAAGTTCGTAATAGATACTATAGCCTATGACAGAAAATTCTCTGTGCAGCTATACGTCTTCGAATAGCCCCCATATAACGGTACACCCCTCCCACCCCCCCCCCCCCCGATATTCGGTATTTTGATGATTTTAGCGACATTATTTAACGGAATTGTTTCAAATTTCGCATTTGAAGTTCGTAATGGATACTACAGCCTATGACAGAAAATTGTCTAAGCGAGTTCACGTCTTCGTATAGCCCCCATATAGGGGATCACCCGATATCAATTCCCAAACCATTACAAAACCCAAAATAAGATGGTACCGCTACCAAAATATAGGTCGAAATAGGGGAATTTTTATACTAACAAAGAAGCACTATTTATAGGGTGGCGAATATTTTGAGGTTTTGCAAACGGAATGTTCTAATATTTTTATACCCTCCACCATAGTATGGAGGGTATATTAAGCTTGTCGCTGTGTTTGTAACAGCTCGAAATATACATTTTAGACCCCACTAAGTATATATATTCTTGATCAGCATAAAATTCTATGACGATTTAGCGATGTGCGTCCGACTGTCCGTTTCTGGAAATCACTCTAACTTCCGAACGAATTAAAGTAGATTGATACAATTTTACTCAAATGTATGTTATGTCTGCAGGACTTTTGTTATTGAAAATGGGCCATGAAGGTCCACGTTTTGGTATAGCCCCCATATAACGATACCCTTCCGATATTCGGTATTTTGATGATTTTAGCTACATCATTCACCGGAATTATTTTAAATTTGGTATTTTAAGTTCGTAATTGATACTACAGCCCAAAACAGAAAATTGTCTGTGACGGTCAACGTCTTCGTATAGCCCCCATGTAACGGTACCTCCCGATATTCCGTATTTTGATGATTTTAGCGACATTATTTATAGGAATTATTTCAAATTTGGTATTTTAAGTTCGTAATTGATACTACAGCCCAAAACAGAAATTTGTCTGTCGGGAGGTACCGTTACATGGGACCTATACGAAGGCGTGTCCCATGTAACGGTACCTCCCGATATTCGGTATTTTGATGATTTAAGCTACATTGTTACCGATTTTTTTTTTAAGTTTCGCATTTGACAAATGTTACCTATGTCGTCCATGTCGTCATATAGACCGTAATATAACAGCCATATTCGGCATTTTTAAGATTTTAACAGAATTATTAAGGGAATTTATTGTTTTTGAGAAATGTCAAATTCCTTTCAAATGGTGGAGAGTATTCAAAATTCGGCCCGGCCGAACTTACAGCTTTTTTACTTGTTCATGTAAATTTGGTCACATAAATTCAAATTTCGCTATAGAAGAATATATTCATCTTGTCCTCAATTTACTTATAATGTCCAGCACTCTTAAAACATGCATTGAAAGCAGAAACGTATACTTAACACGTATTGTATACGTGCATCACAAACAGCTTCAGTGACAGTAACATTCTCCCTCTTTCCCCTCTTGCAGTCTACGGCATTGAAATTTTCAGTTTAATTAAGCTTTAAATTCATATATTGAAATTAATTTTGTTTGAAACTCGTTCTATATCGAATCATGCCACAAATGGACAATTTAAGAATTTAAGAACTTTATAACAAATTTTTGGAATTTTCAAATATTTATTGAATTCCGTCTCTGGTTGGCTCATATATCAATTATTTTTTATTTCTTGTAAAAATCCATTTTTATATTTAATTCTTCCTTTTTTCACCTCTTCCAAACTAAAGCATAATCTTAAATATTTTAAAACTTTTCTATTAAAAAAATCTTTTCAATGGCTTTTTAGTTGTGTCACCATTGACGAATGTTTTCTTTTATAATTATTTTAGTTCATCTTGGGGATGACAACGTCGTTGTTGGCGGCACTCTTACCTTTTATCTTGATTTTGAAAGGAAATACCGCTGGGGAATCGTGGGCTAAAGTTTAATGCAGTGCCAAGAAGAGCAGACAATGCAATGAAAACTAAAACAGAAATTTGGTTTGAGTCGTTGACAAGAGATTTTTTTTTTTTTGTTATAGAATATATATTTTAATTAGACACATTTAAACGCTTTTAGATTGTAAGATTTTTTATTTTTAAATTAATTTTGACGTAGATTTTAGACACATATTTTTTTAATAAATTTTTATTAATTATTTTAATATATTTTCGATTTATTCTCCTTGTTTCAATAAAATTTCACAAATGAGTAAAATTATACTCGCACACTCTTTCAAATTTTCCAACATTTTCTGCTAAGCATCTTTATTTGCTTTCACATAATTTCTGTTGTTGTTTTTTTGCATTATTCCACATCAATTTTAATTTTGAGCTCGAGTTGAATTTTTGTTAGTTTTCTTTATTTATTTATTTTTTTTTTTTTTCAATTTTGTTGGTAATCCGTTATTGCGACCGTCAAAGTACCGTAACGCGTTACTTGTTTCGTCAGACTGATTAGAGTGTCCAAATCGAACTGATGGCATTACCGACCGACCTACCGACCAACATAGGAAAAACTCAGCCATCGACATCAAAACATACACACACACACATACACCCACAAATGCCGTACTCTCATCCAAACGGTTCGCCTAAATTAAGTAAAATCTGCGAATGACTACAAAACCAACGAAACGAAGACGACAAGACCAAAGAGCACAGAAAACACACAGCCACACACACTCACACTAACAGTCCTAGACAGAGAAAACAAAAGCATCATCACTGCCCAAATCTACCCCCACTCCACTGTCATGCAACAATTTCACCGCACCGCTTTGTAAAGGGAGTTGAATTAGCAAACAAACAACCTTTAACGAAACCCAATACACGAACAAAGAACATCCGAAGTATGTCTGTAGGCCATTGGGTAAAGTGGGGTTGATTGTGTCTGTCTGTGTGTGTGAAAGTGAAATTACTCTCGGAATTGGGTTGCCAGATTTGGGGATTCATGCATTAAATTCAATTCGGGGTTTAAAGGATTTTTAGGAAGAACATATAACTATCCTGAATAAGAAATATTTGCAAAGTTCATAAGAAAAAGATAAATACATTTCTGGACATTATATTAACAGAATATAAGCCTCTTAAATAATCTCTATACAAAATGCCTTCAATACCACATAGTGGTAAGACTATTATGTATTTGTGCATTCGTAACATGGAGAAGGAATCGAGGTAGACCTATAGTTAATTTTGAGTATCTTCCAAGAATAACTTTCTGACTCATTTTATGCATATCAGTCGGTTCGTCTATCCATTTTTTTTTTTTTTTGGGAACAAAATGCTGGTCGCATTCATTATCCGATTGAGATGAAATTTTCAAAAAATATTTGCCTGGCCCAAGCATGAACCCTATTGAAATTGGTGAGAATCAGTTTAAATTTAGAAATAGTTCCCATGTGCAGGTTGAGATGAAAAAACTGCGGCCAACTTCAGACTGCTGTCATTTCTAAGTCTCTCTTCCGACAGCTGTTAAAATTATTCCAGTGACAGACCATTTTATTATTTACAAGCGTACAAAAGCATTTTGGTGAGAATTTCCCAGAAAAAAAGTTATTCGCGTTGGAATCCAAGCGTGGTAGTGTGATTTCTTTATATTTGGCTGGAAAACCACAAGTGGCTATCGTCAGGGCACTCCAGCATTTAAATGTGAATAAATCTTTTGTGTCTCGTAGCATCGCTCGTTACCGTGATACTGGTAGCGTAGCCCCACGTCAAGGAAGTCGATAACAGCAGAAATGGTTCGAAAAGTAAAGAAGCGACTTGATCTCAACCCGCTTCGCAGTGGCCGAAAAATGGCTCGTGGGTTGAACATATAGCAATATTCCATTCGGCAAATATGAAAAAGTGTGCTCGGGGTAAAGCCATTGAAACTCCAAAAAGTGCAAGAACTTACACCGCAACAGAAAGAAAATAGACTCAAAAGAGCTAAAGAGTTGCTTCGCTTGACCGAAAGTGTTGAACTGCCGAATTTTGTTTTCTCCGATGAGAAAACATACGTTGTCCAGCAGTTTGTAAACAAACAAAATGATCGTGCTTACCTTTCAAAGAGGTCAGCTGAAAATGAGCGCCCTCGGTTGGTCACCAGAACTCAAGCGCCGGCCATGGTGATGGTGTGGGTCGCCATAACAGCCGTTGTCGCTCTCCGCTCGTATTAATCAAGCGTTGCTCGAAATATTCTGTAGGGTGTATTAAACCCTTGGGCACGAAAACATTTTGACCGCAGACCTTGGATATTTCAACAGGATTCAGCACCACGGCACTCAGCACGCCCCACCCAAGAATTGTTACAAAATGAGGTTCCTTGCTTCATTTTCAGCGCCCAATGGCCACCAAAATCTGCGGATACCAATCCGTTGAACTATTGTGTCTTAAGTATTTTTAAAAGCAAGTTTGGCACTGAAAAATACCAAAGTGTCGATCACCTCAGGCAAACTCTTCACCGGGAAAAGGACCAAAATACCGCAGAGCAACATTCGGGCAGCGTGTGACGGTTTCGTTGGCCGTTTGAAGGCCATATAGTTCGTGCCATTTGAGGCTATATCCGACATTTTTTTGCTCTCATTCAATTAAATTTAAATAAAATTTAAAAATTATATGTATACTTTGTTGGATCTGACATGAGTATACAAATGGAATGAAATAGTAGAATTTAACCTCCATAGTATGGTGGAGAGTATAACATGGGTAGACGGACGGACAGACAACTGTATAGTCGGACATGTTGAATGGTACTAGGAATATTTTGATCGGATCGCTGGAACCCGGGTGCTCCAACTAAATTCAATTTGATGTTAATCGGGTTGTATCAAGTGGCTCGATGATGCTTAGGTTGTTTCAGGTACTCTGGTGATACCTTGATATATGTGATGGGTTAGATGGAACTCGTGTTGCCTTGTTAAATAGTATTTCAACTTTCAAATCCGAGACCAAATCCGTTTCAAGACATTTAAAGTCGATCAAGCGATGTAAGTCCGTTCGTCCATCTAACTGGTGCTCACGATAACTTACGAAGGAAGTACCCCACTTGGTCCAACCTGCGTACATCATTATATTATTATCAAACTTAGATCGAGTTCGGAAATGAGTTTTATCGGTCCACTGCTTCTGGTACCTCCTCCCACAAAATTTTCAAAAAAAAAAAATATTTTACTGCATAGAAAGAAAAACGATAATCTGATTTTGTTTAAACTTTGCAAATCCTAATATGTACATCAGTCCTAGGTCAGGTGCGAAAATGGACAATATCGGTCGACTTCATCAAACACCTCCCCCACAAAGGGTCAACATTTCGAATAATTAAAACTCTTATAAAATGTGATGTAAGAGTCCGATTGTCTTCAAATTACACACATCACAATATTTATATTAAGCCAAGGTCTGATGTGAAGGAGGAATATAGCGGTTCACTCCTTCTGGTACCTCCCCTACAAAGGGTCAACATTTTCAATATCCATTAAGCTCATAAAACATGAAATTAACATCCGATTTCATTCCGACTTTTCACATCTCAATATTTCTATCAGCACTAGATCTGCTATAAAGATGGTAGAGATCGAACCATTCCCACAAAGGGTCAACGTTTTGAATAGCCAGAAACGTTTCTATATTCCCTCTATTTTGCAATTTTTATACCCTACACCACAAGGTGGTCAGGGTATTATGTCTTTGTGCATTTGATTGTAACAGGCAGAAGGAAACGAGATAGACCCATAGTTCCTTTTGATGATCTGCATAGAATCACATTATGAGTCGATTTATGCATGTCCGTCTGTCCGTCTGTCCATATATTTTTGTAAACAAAGTACAATTCGCATTTATTGCCCTATCCAGATGAAATTTTGCACACATCATTTGTTTGGCCCAAGGACGAACCCTTTGGAATTGGAGATAATCGGTCAAAACTTAGATATAGCTCCCATATATATTTTCGACCGATTTGCCTTTTATTGTGCATCAAACGGTTATATCAGTCCGAATAGTATAGAATTTTGAGCGTACGATCAGAGCCAGATTTGATGAAAATCGGTTCAGATGTAGCTATAGCTCCCATATATATTGTTCATCCGATTTGTAATTTTTGTCCTCCGCAGCCGTAATATGCACTCTGTAACAACAATATTTGGGGAAATGTATGAGCTGCAGCTCAGAAATACCTTTGCTAAATTTTATCGATATCGGTTCCGATTTGGATTTAGCTCCCATATATAACTTCATCCGATTTACTTTTTATTGTGCACCAAACGTCTAAAATTTGCCCAAAATGGATGAAATTTGGCACACACGACCGAATTGAGTCTAGAAGCTAGTATGTCAAAATTGGTGAAGATCGGTTCAGATATAGCTATAGCTCACATATATATTGTTCATCCGATTTATAATTTTTGTCCTCCGCAGCCGTTATATGCACTCCGTAACAACGATATTCACGGAAATATATCAAATACAGCTCAGAAATATCTTTGCCAAATTTTATCGAGATCGGTTCCGATTTGGATATAGCTCCCATATACATTTTTATCCGATTTCAAATTAATTGTGCACCAAACGGACAATACAATTCCGAATTTAAAAGATACAAAGGCTCCGGTATATTTAGTCCTTTGAACTTTAAATTATAATTATAATCATAGAGTGTATGATTGAATTCTCCCATTAAAACTTTTAATTGTTACGTGGAGCTCTACTAAATTAGCAAAGTGGTGTAGGGTATCATAAAGTCGGCCCCGCCCGACTTTAAGACTTTCTTTACTGGTTACATTTGAAGTTCTTCCAGTTTCAAATATTTCCAAAATTTGGTATTTAAAAAGTACTGAATCTGGCAGCTTTCCATACAGCAAGCAAATCCCTTCCGATTCAAAATTGTTACAATAAGTGGAGAGCAAAATATTGCTCTCTCGGAGAAAATAACATAGAATTTAAAATTAAGCGCCAAATTGTTAAGGTAGGTTAAGGTGGAATCATTATTTTATATTGCTTACAAAAGAGTTACATTTTACAACATCATATTATAAAAAAATAAAATATTAATATAATAAAAAATTCGCATGTTCTAAAATCAGAACATTATTTATTAAATATATATTTTCAAATAATAAAAAAAATTAATCGCAAAAAAAAACATAGAAAACATCGCACAATTTATTTTTCGCACATGCGCTTTCTTTGCTAGAGAAACTCTTATTTAATCCTTTATACTCTTACTTTTTTACGCTTTCTCTTAACTCATGTCCTTTGAGAGAAATTCACCTCCTTTTGGAGACGAATTCCTATACTTGCAACAAACACGCACACACACAGATACAAGCTAGAAAATACCCAGACTCGTTGGCCAAACATCAAACGGCAAATCGTGATAACAGCTGATAAAAAATGTTTGTCATTGAATTGCTTTCATAACAACAATCGAGCACGTGCTCGGTGTAAGATGTTGCTTTCGCACATAAACATGCGGTGTTTATTGGGGTGGAATGTGCTGCAGTGGGAAATGAAATCATATTTAAAATGTACGATGTTCGATGTTGGCAATAAAGGCTATTTAGCAGCTATTGCT